TCAACGCACGAAGGTGTTATGTATTTACACTTAAATATATATTTAACGTGGGTAATAAATAAAACACCTCTTTCGCTCGGTCAGATACCATAGAAAGTTCACGAGTTTCGTAAAAAATGTATCCAACGAGAATAGGTGTAGTATTCTCTATGGGTACTTTTGATCATGACGTTGACATATTATCAAGACCGGATCAAAATCCTCCATTTCATGGCATGAAACATGTACATAGATGTTTGTATAATTATGACACTGCGACAGTTGTCATCAACATGTAGAAATAATGTATATCAGGATAAAGGCTATAGTATTCATTGATAAATTGATTTCTAATATGAACATTTAACGGACAAACAAGTGTCAAGTGCTACTCATCTTCAATATCACACAAATTGAAAATCCTGTTTAGTCGTAATGTTACGACGTGCATACCCTCCTCAATAACGTACATGTAGACGTACTTGAACACAGACCTAAACAGTCATGTAATTTAAGAGAAGGCATTGCGCTTTCATTGTGTCTGGTAAGCCAACCCATTATTGTGTTATAATAGGGACTAATATCACCACTGAACAATACTAGCATTCGTTAGAGTTTGGTGTAAATCAATTTCGATGTTTTATTACATTGCCTGCATGAGCGCATACATTGATGTATATCACGGTTTATCTTCTATATTTTATTTACAATATTCATATACATTACGCTCTCAAAAGATATCAAAAGACACAAGGGTGAGATTCTATTTATCATCCAACGTCGTTCTTCCAACTTTTTCACTTTGTAGACACTAATAAGCAGTGTCGTAAGTGTAAAAAGAGTGAATAGTTGTGGTATCTGACGGGCGAAAGCGAGTCAGAAACCACAACTATTCACGAGTTTCATAAAAATTGTTTTACACGGGAGCGAGTTTAGTATTTTATTTATTACTTGCCATTTATAACGTTTTTAGAATTATACTGTTGAGTGTGAATAGGCTGACACCCACACGACCCACGGCATAATCCAATTGAGTTCAACATAATAATACTTCAAACACGCCAAAACTTGAAACGTATGAATTTAATACCATACAACGGTCTACCTTCAGAATTCAGGCGTCCGTTCCACAAAGCTATCGTAGCGCTAGGGTTATCGCAACTCACAAACTTTAACTTAGACCAACGACTGTCGTTGCGCTACAGTACGATCGCCTTGTGGAACGGGGCCTTGCACCTCAAAGTTTACAATCACGTCAAAGTACCCGATGACGTAATTTGTTTAATGTTGTTGCAAGATCCATCGGCGAAACAATGCCATGTGACGTCAGCCTAGCAACAAGGTTGCTGCGGTCATCGAGTGTGCATAAGCTCCTCTCAGTGATCTATCATCTCCACCCGCAATGTCGCTGAATAAGCCAAGGGATGTCGAGAGCTTTCAATATTTGTTCATGAAACGTGTCCCGAGAGTACATAAGCACGCGTTTTGGTATTACACAATGTGTAACACAGCTGTATGTTTATTAAACGGGTGATCTCTTCACGGCAAGTAATAAATCGCTTGATCTCACCCAAGCGATATCTCCTGTGGTAGCCAGTTTTTGGATGATAATATAGGCTATTCACATTGGACGAACCGTCTTAAGTGTAATTGAAAAGACATCATTGTGAGATATAAATTGTATTTAATAATTAAAACGCTACCTTTTGAAACGCAGATGGTATTCCGAGCTGATTTGTTTGTCAGTCAGTTCGTGTCGCAGCGTAACACCGGCACTATTTGTGTTGACAAAGAGAGCACATGAGTTGAGTATTTGTTTCGAACAGACACTGTTTACATGTTGTGCTGTGACAACACCAACCAATTCAAACACGGTAGTCTTATATTACATGACAACAGAACCCGTGAAGATCTGGGTTAGAATATGTTGTCAGCATCTCATGAGGCGATTTAAGGGATTTAAAAGTCAGGCTCGCTGACTTGGTTGATGAATGGCATCGTATCCCATTGCGTGGATCGATGCTCATGATGTCAATGGGGGCACGGGTGGCCAAGTCGTCTAAGGCGCCGCGATTCGCTGTGCAGGGTTGCATCCCTTGGGCACGCAAGAAACCTATGATTGTGGGTTCGAATCCCGGTTCGCCCCGATTATGTTTCTAGGTTTGTCAGCACCATACCCATGCTCGTGGGTTTCACCGAAGTGGTAAACGTCTGAGAACTGCATCACTTCGGGCTTTCCTCCCACATTAAGCTGTCACGCCTCGATATAACTGGAATACTGTTAAAAGCGGCGTTAAACCTAATTAACTCACTCACTCACATGATGTCAATGGATTGTCTGGTCGATTATTTGCAGACCGTCATATATCTGTAATGTTGCTGAGTGCAAACAAAACATGACAACATACCTTACTGACAGTGTGTGTTTCTGCGTGCTTATATTTGTGTGTGATTTTCGCATGTTGTCTTTCGGGGTTATATTTACATATGTCCACGAACCTTCTGAATATACGAACGCTGACTGCCCTTAATTGTGTTGTGCTGGATATTGACTAAAGCCATACTGACGTGACAAGTTGACTCTATACAGTTGTAGTATTGGTATTTATGTAGTTGTAGTAGTCGTAGTTCTAGATAGGAACTAGTAATAATTTGTGTAGTATCAGCTGTAGTAGTAGTAGTAGTAGTAGTAGTAGTAGTAGTAGTAGTTCGTGTTGCTGTCATGGTCGGTGATTATAAGTTTGTTGTGTAGTAGATGTCGTCGTTGTTGTAGTGGTAATATGTTGTAGCCGCTGTATACGTAGTAAAAGGAGTAGCTCTAGTGGAAGTTGTAATTATTGTAGTACCCGTTGTAATTCAGGAGAAATTTGGAGTCTAGACGGTCTATATGCCCATTTGACACGAATTAATGTGCGTACCCAATACAATTGATTCACTGATGTTTCGTGCGGAGTTTGGTCAACACGTCGACGTCCTGCGAATACCCCATTTGTGTTTGTTGTCCATGGTAAACTGCGATATAGCCGTGACGGTATCTCAGTTGGCTAGCAATATATAACTAGAATTAATGCGGAAACAGACACAGACACAGACACATACGTAGACAGAGACACAGACACACACAAACTGAAATGAGTGAAGTAATAAAAATATCATATCAAATAAAATGTCTCTCTGTACACATACGCTTTGCTTTAAATACACAATGACACACACATTAATGCTTGCCAATAGATCAAAAGGACAGTTTTAGTGCCCACATAACAATAATATATCGATACGGTCTTCTTTTGAGAGTCTTATTTCCTTTAATGCACGTAAAACACACTTATGTATAATCATCGCCTTCATAATTGATTTTAGACGAATGTATACGTGAAATTGACTCAAGTTCTTATGTCACAAATTACCATTAAGGATTTCAAATCAAGGAGTTGCGTGTTGGAAATGATTACGTCTCATCTCTCCTGACGCCTAAAATCTACCAATCTTCTAATGAAGAACAAACAGTTGGCGGCGAAAGGAAAACAACAATCATTAAAACAACAATAGAATATGGTACTATTTCAGAAACGTATTTCTGTTTTATGACAGATGTCTTGGGAATGTTGTGAACATTTCGATCACAGATTTATTACTGCACGGAAAGACCACTTAAGTACCCAGTTCATTACGACCCAGCGGCGACGAAATGGTGTTTTAGTTTTTAATCATTTATGTGTTCGGAAACATCGCATTTTATGTTTTTTAACAAGAGCTACTCCAACATAAAATTGAATTCGTGGAAAAATACATCCTATATTTCGCAAAAAGAGACAGCGAGCTCACGTAAACATCGATACAGTCGTTTCACCCAAGTAAGCTAAACGTGAAGACATGAATCTTTGATGGATAAGGATTTCTTTATTGTTTGTCTCGATGTTTTAGGATTTTCGATGCTCTTTTCATTAAGACTTGCATGCCAACATGTTCTTCCAAATTCTAAATGCCAGCCAAATTCAAGGAAATAACCCGCGTAATATCAGCAGTGCACATTATAATGACTTCAATTTACTTAATTGAACGATTGCATTGATCCAGTTTGTCAGATTGTGACAATATAAGTGAATATAGTTTTACGCCGTTATTAACAAGATTCCAGCCATATCACGGCGGGGAACACCAAAAAATGGGTTTCACACATTGTACCTTGATGGGATCCGGAATCGAACCCGGGCATTCAGCGTGACGAGCGAACGCGTGAACCACTGGGCTACCCCTTCGCCCCCGTGACATTAGAACCAAACGTTCTATATGTTCTGTCCAAACTTTAAACAAAGTAACACTAATGGTATCGTAAAAACAGTTTTGGCATGTCCTACATCAAGACAGGCTACATAAAAAAAGGATATGTTTCTCAAAACAAAAAGTATCATCTAATACAATGTATTGATACAAAAAGAGCTGCCAATCTTCAATCCGAAGTCTTCACAGCATCTTAAGCAAATGTACGCCTCGTAATTGAAACACGTAAATGCTTAGAGATCGTGTTAAGACAACACCCGACCTAGACACCAAGATCAGATGTAATCTGTTTCCACGGCCTAATGTAGCATTAACGTCTTGTCTGCACCGTCATTGTTAACAGTCTAATGATCTGAAATCACCATCCATGCCTCAGCGCTTTCGTAAACAAACTTATGATTAGTTGTGAAACCCAATGCCATAACACTAAAGTCCATATCAAACATCAAACTACCGGTACTGACACTGTAAGTGATACGTACATCATGCAGTTGACATAATAATGAATGTCAGCATCCCCGTCACTCGTCATCTATCAACGCCTGTACCAGCAATAAGCTGCAACTAACGGCCACACATTTCACAGTCCTGTCGGCCCTTTCATACAGCCCTAACACGGTATTGATAGAGGTAGCGATCACGGAGCCTATTCTCATCGTTCGCAATATGTTGCCATATTAGATTCGATCTGAGCTGGGCTTCAATTCACCCATCTCGCATTCATTGGCCTGTTTCAGAGTACGAACGGGCTATGGGACATTGAGATGTTTATTGGAATCCGGGGCGACTACACTGCAGTTGGTTTGAAACAGACATGCAGTTCATCTCTAACTCAGTCAATGATACACAGATGCAGGTGAGTGTATTCATTTGTTAAATTGATTTTTTGACCACAGGTAACCATGTCGGCTTTGGCTTAGGTGCTTATCATTTATTCGTAGTCTACATTGAGAGAAAACAATCATTTTTGTATTTCACTGGAATCAACCTTTAAAATTCAAATAATTATTTTTAACTTCAATATGTACTTTATATACACAGCATAAATGCATAGAGAATTAAATACTAGCCATTTTGTGCATGTGATAAGTGACTTAGGATATACTTTGCTTTTTCTTACAGAAACAGTAGCTGGATATATTGTAGTATCAACCATTCCTTTTGTTAAAAATGAACAGTATATTATGAACAGTATACATGCAAAGAGGATAAAATTGCCATCGTTATTATATTTCTCATGCAATGAGTCAAAGATGTGCGTAAACAAGCGTACATGTTAGTGATTTTAGAGTAACAGCACCTGTAATTGTGTAGGTGGTGTATATTGACAGTCGGTGAGCCATGTCGGACCGATACATTACATATATCTCCCTGCTGACATTTACCGATTTAAAAGCCAACCCCTTTTTTGATAAACCAGATTCTTTTACAAAGTCATTGAACAGGAGTATTGAGGGAGTTCTAAACAAGTAGTAGTTAGACTCATAGACACGGTTATTGTGGAATTTGATATATGGTTATAATGTAACTTCTGCCAGAATAGATTTTATACCAATGAAAAAAATACTGTGTGTTCTACCCTCTTGTTAATGCTTGTGCTGTGCAGAATGAACTCGTTCATAGCAGCGTACCGTTACAGCGTTGAAGTGAATTACATTCATTTATTCATGATAACTGGACATGAGGGCACTGCGAGTAGGCTTTGTCGCTCTGGTTAGTTCTTAAGAAGTCAATGAGTGGGGATTAATACCACATTTAACGGTAGTTCATCTACTTCACAGCGTGTTAGCATATGCATCACGACGTGTTAGCATCTATATCACAACGTGTTAGCATCTATATAGCGGCGTGTTAGCATCTATATCACGATGTGTTAGCATCTATATCACGACGTGATAGCATCCATATAACGACGTGTTAGCATCTTTATCTCGACGTGTCAGCATCGTGGCGTGTTAGCATCTATGTCACGGCGTGTTAACGTCTATATCATGACGTGTCAGCATCTATATCACGACGTGTCAGCATCTATATCACGACGTTTTAGCATCTACATAACGATGTGTTAGTATCTATATCACGACGTGTTGGCATTTATATCACGACGTGTCAGCATCTATATCACGACGTGTTGTCATCTATATCTCGACGTGTTAGCATCTAAATCACGACCTGTTAGTATCTATATCACGACGTGTCGGAATCGTTACGTGTTAGCATCTATATCATGACGTGTTAGCATCTATATCACGACGTGTCAGCATCTATATCACGACGTGTCAGCATCGTGACGTGTGCGCATCTATATCACAACGTGTTAGCATCTGTATCACGACGTGTTAGCATCTATATCACGACAAGTTAGCATCTATATCACGACGTGTTAGCATCTATATCACGACGTGTTGGCATCTGTATTACGACGTGTTAGTATCTATATCACGACGTGTTAGCATCTATATCACGATGTGTTAGCATCTGCATCACGACGTGTTAGCATCTATATCACGATGTGTCAGCATCTATATCACGACGTGTCAGCATCTATATCACGACGTGTTAGCATCTATATCACGACGTTTTGGCATCTACATAACGATGTGTCAGCATCTATATCACGACGTGTCAGCATTTATATCACGACGTGTTGGCATCTATATCACGACGTGTTGGCATCTATATCTCGACGTGTTAGCATCTAAATCACGACGTGTTAGTATCTATATCACGACGTGTCGGAATCGTTACGTGTTAGCATCTATATCACGACGTGTTAACGTCTATATCATGACATGTTAGCATCGATATCACGACGTGTCAGCATCTGTATTACGACGTGTTTTCATCGATATCAAGACGTGTTGGCATCTATATCACAACGTGTTAGCATCTTTATCACGACGTGTCGGAATCGTTACATGTTAGCATCTATATCACGACGTGTTAATGTCTATATCATGACATGTTAGCATCTATATCACGACGTGTTAGCATCTATATTACGACGTGTTAGTATCTATATCACGACGTGTTACCATCTATATCACGACGTGTCAGAATCTGTACTACGACGTGTTAGTATCGATATCACGACGTGTTAGCATCTATATCACGACGTGTGAGCATCTATATCAAGACGTGTCAGCATCGTGACGTGTGCGCTTCAATATCACAACGTGTTAGCACCTATATCACGACGTGTTAGCATCTATATCACGACAAGTTAGCATCTATATCACGACGTGTTGGCATCTGTATTACGACGTGTTAGTATCTATATCACGACGTGTTAGCATCTATATCACGACGTGTCAGCATCGTGACGTGTGAGCATCCATATCACGACGTGTTAGCATCTATATCGCAACGTGTTAGCATCTTTATCACGACGTGTCAGGATCGTTACGTGTTAGGATCTATGTCACGGCGTGTTAACGTCTATATCATGACGTGTTAGCATCTATATCTCGGTGTGTCAGTATCTATACCACGACGTGTTATCATCTATATCAACGACCTGTGAGCATCTATATCACAACGTGTTAGCATCTATATCACAACATGTTAGCATCTATGCATCTATGATCACCCTTGCCATTACTGAATTAGTTTAACGTTTAATGTCATGATAAACAGTTATGTAAAATAAACCTATAATTATGGTATAACGTTTATTTACAGTGTGATGGTGTATCTTTATCACGGTGTGTCAGAATCTATACCACGACGTGTTATCATCTATATCAACGACGAGTCAGCATCTATATCACGACGTGTTGGCATCTATATCACGACGTTTAGGCTTCTACATAACGATGTGTCAGCATCTATATCACGACGTGTTGGCATTTATATCACGACGTGTTGGCATCTATATCACGACGTGTTAGCATCTATATCTCGACGTGTTAGCATCTATATCACGACGTGTCGGAATCGTTACGTGTTAGCATCTATATCACGACGTGTTAACGTCTATATCATGACATGTTAGCATCGATATAACGACGTGTCAGCATCTGTATTACGACGTTATTTCATCGATATCACGACGTGTTGGCATCTATATCACAACGTGTTAGCATCTTTATCACGACGTGTCGGAATCGTTACATGTTAGCATCTATATCACGACGTGTTAATGTCTATATCATGACATGTTAGCATCTATATCACGACGTGTTAGCATCTATATTACGACGTGTTAGTATCTATATCACGACGTGTTACCATCTATATCACGACGTGTCAGAATCTGTACTACGACGTGTTAGTATCTATATCACGACATGTTAGCATCTATATCACGACGTGTGAGCATCTATATCAAGACGTGTCAGCATCGTGACGTGTGCGCATCTATATCACAACGTGTTAGCACCTATATCACGACGTGTTAGCATCTATATCACGACAAGTTAGCATCTATATCACGACGTGTTGGCATCTGTATTACGACGTGTTAGTATCTATATCACGACGTGTTAGCATCTATATCACGACGTGTCAGCATCGTGACGTGTGAGCACCATATCACGACGTGTTAGCATCTATATCGCAACGTGTTAGCATCTTTATCACGACGTGTCAGGATCGTTACGTGTTAGGATCTATGTCACGGCGTGTTAACGTCTATATCATGACGTGTTAGCATCTATATCTCGGTGTGTCAGTATCTATACCACGACGTGTTATCATCTATATCAACGACGTGTGAGCATCTATATCACAACGTTTAGCATCTATATCACAACATGTTAGCATCTATGCATCTATGATCACCCTTGCCATTACTGAATTAGTTTAACGTTTAATGTCATGATAAACAGTTATGTAAAATAAACCTATAATTATGGTATAACGTTTATTTACAGTGTGATAGTGTATCTATTTTAGATTCCATCGCGGCACTGCGTAAGTGCAATGTATCTAAGGGCCTATCCGAGTCATATCAAAGAGCGTTGTATTAAATACTGGGCATATTTTTCATATTAATACATGTCGAGGAATGTGACGTTGACATTAATGGTGGCATTTGCCAATGGTCTCAATGGTCAAACAGCATTAATAAATCAAATTAATGTTTTATAAATTAAAAAATCAATGAATATGAATGATTTGTAAAAAGAATTTTCTCTTGGTAAAATATCTCTTGCATTTTGCTTATGGGAGAAAAACACTTTGCCAATTTAATCAGTCAATTAAGAATATGCACTTTTGCTGAAGGAATAAGATACTTGAATTAACTAATAAGACCAATGAGCTCAATCGAAATGTCTGCATCACGAGCCATCGTGGGACTTGCTGCATATGTTAGTGTATACAAATGCCATACATCAAACTACCTTGTATTGACAGTAGCCCAACTGCTCTCTCGCCGGAGAGAAGTCCCTTGATATCCCAAAGCTTACTGTGTATACACGAAACGCTCAATGTCTTCATAACGACACTAGGGACGGAGGAAAGTTGATTAGCATTGTACACTGAGCTGAAACTAAGATTTACTCGTCTTCACAGTTTTCGGCTGAACTGACATCAAACTGTCAACTGGATAATTTCATAGCTACTGTAATCTAATTTCAAAGGAACCCTTTGGACGAGTACAAATTTAAATTTTAGATTCCTCTGTGACATGCTCCGTTGTAATTTCTTGAGCAAATTACGATCTTAAGGTACGAGGTCGGAATTTCAATCAATCCAATCACGACCCTACGTTCTCTGTGATGCGTTCACAGACAATTCTACTCCAGGAATGTGTTTCTTTGAAATAGCGCTGCCCATCCCGTTCAGATTGGGAAATTGTCATCGAGTGCTGTAGTTTGGGGTTTACTTCTTATTGGGATAGCAGTGTAATTA